CGAGCTGCGGGCGGTGTCGGGCGTAGGGGGGCATCGGGGAGTCGCTCAGCTTCCTGGTAACCTTGGCAAGGGGGGTCGCACCCGTAGCCCAGGGGCCAGCGGCTGGGGGGCGGGGGGAGAGCGTCGGCGATGGGGTCGCTTGACCGACCGTTCCGCCCAGCCGTGTAGTCCAGAATTTTGGCGGCGACGGATGAGCCAGTTGGACTAGGGGCGCCCTCCCCGTTGAGGCTGGCTACCCAGCAGGTTTCACACAGCCAGGTGAGGTTCAGCCCATCCAGGTACGCTTGTGGCCTGTTGCTAGCTAGGAGGTCCCTGACGGCGTCGCCCACCCAGGTCCCGTCGCTGTAATTCAGCTTGCCCGAGCGGCAGCCGTCACAAGTGAACGGGCCGCTCTTCTGGTCGGTCTGCAGCCTGTCGTCGCTGCTGGCGAGGGGGGCCAGCCTGGTGCCGGGGGCGGGAGCTGCCGGCGCGGGAGAGGCCAGGTCCGTCTTGGGGAGGGCTGTTCCTCCACCGACGCACCCAAGCGCCACGTCGGCCCTGTCTTCCCCCAGGCCAGCCTCGGACCCAACGAAGGTAGTGTGGATGGAGCGCACATATGGAGCACTTGTAGGCTGTCAGCGGGGCGAGGTCGGCGGGCGGTACCATCTGTTCCAGGACGAGCATTGGAGCCTTGAGCTTAAAGTCGGCTTTCTCCATATCCTTCCAGGACCGTGGGCATCCGGCCTCCATCGCCACGTCGTGATGATGTGCGTTCGTAACCAGGCGCGAGACCTGGGCGAGCACGTCCTCGATCCTCCCGTGCAGCTCCGCGAAGTCATCCAGCGAGAAGCTCCACGCTGCTGCGAAACTCTGCCGGAAACCCAGGTGCGCGTCCTGCTGGGGTACGCAGAGGCCGAGCACTGCCTCGACGACGTCGCCCGCGCCTTCGGCGTTGGGGAAAGGCCAAAGAAACGCCCTGGGCTCTCTTATCATGAGCATCACAATGACGAGGAGGGCTCGGGCCTTCCGGGTGTCCAGGGGTGGCCCGTCCGAGTCTTCCTGCCTGTCGCGTAGCTCTTGGCCTCGGGGCGCTGTGCGCAGCAGCTGCGCCTGGGTGCCCATGCCAGGGTGCGCCCTGTGGCGACGACAGTCGCGCGTCGTGCCACTGCAAGCCTCTGGGACTTGCCGTAGCAAACCTTTCGGCGCGCACTTGCGCCCTGCGCGCGGGCGGGCGCCGCGCCCTTTCACCGATGGATGGGGTGGGAGGGGGTCGTCTGTTAGGGCTCGTCTGCTGTCCTCCCAGGGGGGCACTAGACCCATCACCCACACCAGACAGGCCCAGAACACGTTGTAGACCAGGTTGCTCGCGTCCAGGCCAATTCCATGTCGTACAGGAAGCCGAGATGCGACCATGCCTTCCGGTCCAGCCTGCCAGTGCCCCTGGGGGTGTCGGCCAGGGAGAACTCGCGTGGGTGGAGCCCTGAGACCAAGAAGAGGACCGCTGCGAACGCAGGCGTGGCAAGGAGGTTGTCCACGGCGTCTGCGATGGATGTCCCCAGGGCTTCCCAGGCAAAGTCAGGCTCGAGCGGCGTCTCGACTCTGTCGGCGGAGCTACTAGCCAGGGACTCCCGGGCCCTCTTGATGGCGCTGTCGATCTCTTTTGCCACGTCGTCTCCATCCGCGCTGCCAGACCAGGAGACGGGCGTGGTGACCCAGGTGGCAAGCTCCTGGACTGGGTCGAAGTTGGAATCCAGGGCCAGGTGGCCTCTGTTGCCTGGTGTTTGATTCCTCTGGAACCTGACCCATAGGTTGGCGAGCCTCCCGCATTCCGACAGCACCCGCAGCCTGGACGAAGTGGCGCTTGTCAACATCCTCCCGTTTCCGATGACGACCACGAAACGGGTGGCTCTGGTGATCGCGACGTTCACCCTGTTGGCATCGTCGATGAAGCCCCAATTGTGCGCTCCGTTGGACCTGGTAATCAGAAAGATCACGATGTCGGCCTCGCCGCCTTGGGAGTCGATCGTGGAAAGCTTCAGGGTGCCTTTCTTGAGGTGCGGAGAGGCGATTTGCAGAAGGCCAGGGAAGCGCAAGCTGATGCCGGTCCAGTCGCAGTCGTATTGGTCGAAGACGCGTTCCCAGCCTGTTGTGTCCACTGGGCGGTCACCAGCCTCGTTCGTCCCTGCGCCCGGCGCTGGCGAGCGGCTGCGGTCGACCCTGGCGTCGTTGCCCCCCTTGCCCCTGCCGCCTTTCGGCTTGCCTTTTCCCGCCCCGTGAGTGGCGGAGGACGCCCGAGATATTGCCCGGACCTTGCGGCCAGCCGTCTTCCAGGATCGCTGACTGCAGGTGGTAGCCGACGACCAGTCGCACCGTCACCCCGTCGTCGAGGGCAGGTAGGAGAGCGCGAACGACGTCGACTGCTTGCGCCGCCTCTGGCGCCAACAAGACCGTGTCTTCAACCACGTGGAATTTCTTCGGAACTCTGCCCTTCATGCCATCCACCAACTGCCGCAGAAGAGGGAGAACGACACTCGCCGAACACGACATCACTCGGCCGTTCGAAGGGACGCTGAACGCGTCCAGCTCGGAGGCCTCTGGCATGCGAAGCCAATGGACATCTGGGAATGGCGTTGGCGGAGATGTTGGATAGTGCCGGCCACGAGGTGCAAGCGAGACGGTGGCCCGAGTACCAAGGTGATCGTATCACCCAATTCCCTGCCAATCTCTGCAGCTCTTGACAACGAAGCCAAGCCCGCATCGGAGTCGCTGAAGTCAAACAAATATAGGTGACGACGCCTGGCCCAGTTCGGGCGACGCGCCCAGCCAAATTCCCCTGCAGCTCGGCAGACACAAGCTTGTCCGTCTTCTTTTTCGAGCCAGAAGCGCCGATCAGGTCGGAGCGCATGTGCGGGTGAATCAGAACGTATTGGAGATCATAATGCGTGACGGACCGAGCACCGACAATAGACGACAGGATTATATGGTTCCTAGGTAGCTCTGCGCCGAGCGCGTTTGCCTCCTCATCCTCGTTGCCGATGATACCAAGAGCGCCTCGGAGAGTCCAAGATGATCTCCAGAATGGCTCAAGATAGCCAAAGATGCCTCAAGATGGCTCCCAAGATGCTCCAAGAGGCCCCGATGATGCTCCAAAACAGCTCCAAGTGGCCAGAAAAGCTCCCTAAGGAGGCCCCGAAGATGCCCAAATCCTGCAAAAACCTGGGGAAAATCAGTGATGTTTGCATCGATGCCCGTTCGCTTCCGATGGCCATCCAACCGAGACCTCATGATGGCTCAAAGATGGCCCAGGAGGGCCCCAAGAGAGGCCCAGACGAGCGCCAAGAGGCCCCACGAGCGCCCAAGAGCGGCCCGAGAGACGATTTTAGGCACTCGAGAAGGGCGACGCTAAGCAAGTACCTTCTTTTTTTCAGGTCAATCTCCAACAAGATGGCTCCAAGAGCGTTCCCAAGGCTCCCAAGAGCGCCCCAAGAGAACCCCAAAAGGCGCCAAGGAGGCCCCAAGACGCCACCAATATGCCCGTAGAAATTACCAAGAGATCCCTAAGAGGCCCCCGGGACCGCCAAGAAACCCCCAAGAAGCGCCATGAGGCCCCGAACTCGCCATGTTCTTCCTCCTCCTCCTCCTCCTCCTCCTCGTCCTCCTCGTCCTCCTCCTCCTCCTCCCCTCATTATCCTCCTCATCCGCCTATTTCTCATCCTCTCTCCGCCCCCTCCCCCACCTCCTCCTGCTTCTCTTCCTCTTCCTCCTCGTCCTCCTCCACATTTCCTCCCTCTCCTCCTCCTCGTCGTCCTCACCCTCCGATCCCTCCTCCTTCTTCTCCCTCTTCGGATACGACGGTTTCTCCAGCCTTTTGTTGCTCTGTATGCTCCCCCACTTCTCTGATCAGGGATCTCGTCTGGGCATCGTCTCTGAATGGGCTTATCGAGTTTCCACTTCCGATATTTTTTCAAAGCCTCTATATGGCTCCAGAATGACACAAGACAGCTTCAAGAAAGGCCCAATAAAGCTCGAAGACGGCCCCAAGAGCGCCCAAGAACGCCTCAAGAGCGTCCCGCGAGGACCTCAGGAGGCGATTTGCGATGTTCTCGGTGGGGCGGCGTTGGTTCAACCAATGCGTCACGACAAGAGCGCTCCAAGAGGGGTCCAGGAGGCGATTCTCGGCGATCCCGAGGGAGGGCGAGGTGGAGCTCTCCTCTTTTGTTGATCCATGTCCTCCAAGATGGCCCCAAGAGCGCCCCTGCAGCTCCCAAGGAGCGCCCCAAGAGGGCCCCGAGAGGCGCCCAGACGGCCCCGAGAGGCCCCTAAGAGGCTCCCAAGAGTCTCCATACGAGGCTTCAAGAGGATCCCCGAGGTACTCAACTCTCCCTCACTCTCCTTCTGCTCGTCCTCCTCGTCCTCGTCCTACTCCACCTCCTCCTCCTCCTCCTTCTCCTCCTCCTCCTCCTCCTCCTCCTCTTCTCCTCCTCCGATGAGGATGCCTCCTCTATCCTCCCCCTCTTGGGGTATATGACGGCGTCCCCCGCCCTTTGTTCTTCTGCATGCTCCCCCACTTCCCCGATCGCCTCAACTCCCAGTTGGTGGGGGTACGCCAAGCGTCGCCAATGGGGGAGCTGCTGGGGGAGAGTGGACCTGGAGAAGCACGGCGCCCAAAGGCGGGCACGTCCGGCACCTTGGGCGCCCAACGCTGGAGGGGTCTCCCCCGGCGGGCCTCATCAGGACTGGAAACGCAACGTGCTCTCAAAACGCACCCGGGACGCACCCCGGACACGCGGGCGCAGGTCGACGAGAAGCGAGAGATGAGAAGGAGGAGGATGAGGTGGAGGAGGAAGAGGAGGGCAGGGGGGGAGGAGGAGGAGGGAGGAGGAGGAGGAGGAGGAGGAGGAGGAGGAGGAGGAGGAGGAGGAGGAGGAGGAGGAGGAGGGAGGAGGTGAGGAGGAGGAGGAGGAGGGGAGGAGGGAGGAGGGAGGAGGGAGGAGGATGAGGTGGAGGAGGAAGAGGAGGGCAGGGGGGGGAGACAGGGCAGGCGGCGAAGCGAGGAATCGGCTCGCAGAGGCGCCTGCGGCCCTCCGAGAGCGCCGCCGGACCGCCTCGCGGCCGGGGCGCGGCCGCCTCGAGCCCCGAGCTGCTGCTGCCGCCGCTGCCGCCGCTGCGCGCGCTCAGAGGGCTTCACAGCCGGGCGACGCGCTCAGAGGTAGGCATTTCGACACGCAGACCGCTCTTAGCCGCCTGGAGCCGCTCGCGCCAGTCCATGAGAGTTGCAAACGGCAAAACCAACAAGTTCAGCTTGCTGGCCTGGTTCTGACGCAGGGCATCAACGATGGGCTGCATGTCCAAGTTCTCATCGTTCCCACCGAACACAATATCGGTTTTCTCAGAGGACAAAATAGCGAGTCGCTGCAGCGTCTTGTTCTGGGTAAGCATCTCCCCTAGCATCTTCCCTCCATGAAATAAAGGTATGCCCAGCACGGTCAGCGTCGTGTTGTCGCGGAGGGCTTTCGCCATCGCAGGGATGCTGGAGCGAATACGAACGTTCCCCCAAAGTTTCAGAATCTCCAGTGTTTTGTTCTGGTCCAGCATGTTCGCAATGGCCTTGCCGGAGTCATCGTCAAGATCGTTCTGCGAGATGTCCACCTCGGTCAGCGACGTCATCCAGGCGCCTTCCTCGATGTGCCTGATCTTGTTACCACGAACTTTTAGAATCCGCAGCGCCGCTCGACGATTACGATTGAGGGCTTCGGTGACGGGCGCGATGTCCGTGATACGGTTAAACGAAATGTCCAGGCTCACCAGCGTCTTGTTCTCGCACAGCATCCTTCCCAGACACTTGGTGTTCTCGATGAAATTATTGTTCAACTCCACCTTAATCACCGTGGTGTTCTGGCACAGTCTCTTGGCAACTCTTGCGATCACCGCGTCGCCGAGACATTTGCCGTTCAGGCTCACCTCCTCGCCCTTGTAATTGACGAAAAGGTTGCGCCGCTCTTCCCACGCCTCGGCCAACTTGATCAGCGCAGAGAAGCCCGCCGTGACGATGTTCGCCATGGCTACTGCCCCGAAGTTCCCGTTGTAGGTGAAGGCTCCATCCGCGCCCCACATGGAAACCAAAAGGGAAAGGACGACGGCTGGGATATCCTCGATGACAGTGCACCAGGCCTTGACGGAGCCTGTGCTGAGGTCAAATTTGGATAGGCATGTGCGCAGCCCTGCGGCATCGAACGTCTGGAGGTACCATGATACACCAGCGAGAACGAGGGAGACCCACAAGCTGTTCACGAGCCAGCTGGGGAGTTCCACGTCCCCCTGACTGTGCAGCATCGTCAGCCCTGTCGCATTCTCCAATACGAAGAGAATCTCAAACAAGAAGTCTAGGTCCGCTGACACACTTGCAAGAGCGAATAATGGCGTGATGTCCTCCTCCTGCCCCTTGCACTTGTGGCGGCAAATCACAAAAAAAACACGGAACATGTTCCGAGTCAGCTGCGACAGAAGCAAAAGAAACTGAACCTACACTCTGAGCCCGGAAGCTTGAGCCAAAATGACCATGGCAGGCAACCTGGGAAGCTTTGGGCGCCTCTTGGGTGAGCTTGGGGGCCTCTGGGGGGTCCTGCGCCCTTCATGGGCCTTCTTGGAGCCGTCAGGGCCCCCCCGGGCCCCCATGCAAACCAGGGGTCGTGGTTCCAGGCCGTCCCCTGGCCCACTCCGATATGTGTGTATAATACTAATCATCATCATCATCATCATCATCATCATCATCATCATCATCATCATCATCATCATCATCATCATCATCATCATCATCATCATCATCATCATCATCATCATCATCATCATCATCATAATATACACACTAGAACCACTCGCGCGCTTCCCGCGCGCCAAGGTTTTAGCTGCGCCCAGGGAACGCGCACCGCAAATGTCCAATACGTCAATGAGGAGAGCAAGGGCGACGTCGGCACTGGTCTCTGACACCGCGCGGACCGCGCAACCTTGAACGATCGTGGCTTCGAATTGTGCAGATCGCTAAATACCGGCCGATTCCAGGCTCCTGGCGTTCAACTGTGAACACACGCGCCAGGGTTGCCGCTGCGTCAACGCGGCGATGACCTACCGTATTTGTTCGGGGGGGTATCGACCCCAGAATGGCCCATGATTTGTCTGTCGTCGGTGTTCGTCGATTCTTGATGTTCGAACTATGTTCGTCGCTTTTGGTCTCTAGGAGCCCGTTGCGGGGACGCTCCTGAGACTCAACGAACAGGGCGAAAGACGCCTGAAACCCTCCATCCCCCAGCCTGGGGCGGGCGGTGGTTTAGGGCGTTTCCTCTTCGAACCTCTTCTTCCCCTTCGGGGAGGGGCTTACCCCTCCCCGTACTTCCTTCCCATGTGCCTGGGCGGGGTGTTCCGCGAGGGAGTAGAAAGTCCAAGATGGCCCAAGATGGCTCCCAGAGGGCCCGAGACATTCCACGATGGCCTCCAAGATGGCTCAAGACATCGCAAGCTCGTTCAAGAGGGTTTTCACTGTACTCTGAGAAGCCCCAAGATCTCTCCAAGATAGGCCCAGGTGGCCACGGAGCCTCCCAAGGATGCCCCACGGAGCCTCCCAAGGATGCCCCTAAGAAACCAAACATGCGCCAAACACCAAGAACAAGATCGTTGACTTTTGCCTTCTCGCCTTCTCCGCTTCCGATAAGCTCTGAAGACCTCCAGTTGGTCCCCAAGATGGCCCCGAAAAGGCCTCACGAGAAGCCAAAGGTGGCCTCGGGAGCGCCCAAGAGCGCCGCGAGAGCGCCGCAAGGGAGGGGGGCCAAGAGGCGACAGAAGGAGGTAATGGTGATGGCAGACATAGCGGCGCGGTACGGGCGACCGAGGCGATGGCAGACATCGTCTAGTCCTCCCACGATTCCAGTGCAAAGCTCAGGATCATCGTCATAGCCGTAATCACCACCATCACCATCACCACCACCATCACATTCGTCATCACCGCCACAATCATCATCGTCATCATTGCCTGTTCGGGGCCCTCTTGGGGGCCTTCCCGGAGCCCTATTGGGACGTCATGCGGGCACCTTGGGTGGTCGTGAAGCCACCTTGGGCCTTGTCGGCCGTCTTGGGGCCCTCGTGGGCCGTCTTGATGCCCCTTGGATCTCCTTGGGGGCCTCTTGGACCGTCTTTGAAGTGCCCCGAGGATTCCAGGGAGCCTGGGGGCAATTGGGGCCGTCTTAAAACCAACCAGGGCCGTCTTGGGGCGATCTTGGGCCGTCTCGCGTCGTCTTGCAGCCATGTGGTGCCATCCTGACCCCGCTGGTGCCGTCTTGAGACCATCTGGGTCGTCTTGGGGCAAGATTGGGGATGTCTGGGCTAATTATTTTCGGGCCCTCTTGGGCCGTCTTGGGACCCTCTCGGGGCCCTCTCATACGCCGTCTTTCGGCCCACTCGGGAGGCCCTGGGGCCGTTGTGGGGCCACCTTGGAAGTCTGTTGGGCTGTCATGGGCTGCCAGAAGCCCGAGAAGGCGAGAACGCTGAAATTCTAGACGCTTCGCGTATCCCCACCAGCCCGTCCAGAAATGAGTCCCAGGGGAGTGGAGGTTATGAGGGAAGCGGGGGAGCATGCAGAAGAACAGAGGGCGGGGTGAGCCGCCATATACCCCAAGAGGGGGAGGATGTAGGAGGAGCCGTCGTCGTCGGAGTAGGAGGAGGAAGAGGAGGAGCAGGAGGTAGGAGCAGGAGGAGGAGGAGGAGGAGGAGATAAGGAGGAGGAGATGGAGGACTGCGAGGACGAGGAGGACGAGAAGGAGGAAAAGGAAAAGGAGGAGGAGGAGGAGGAGGAGGAGGAGGAGGAGGAGGGGGAGGGGGAGGAGGGAGGAGGAAGAAAAAGAGGAGGAGGAGGAGGACAATGGCGAGCTTGGGGGCCTCTTGGGCCGTCTTTGGGGCCTCTTGGCGGTCCCGGGGGCTTCTTGCGTATCTCGGGGAGCCTCTTGTGGCCTCTTGGGGGTCTCTTGGGGGCCTCTTGGAGGCTTCTTGGGGGCATCTTGGGGCCTCTTGGGGCCCTCTTGGGGCGCTCTTGGGGCGCTCTTGGGAGCCTTCGAGGCGCTCTTGGGGCCATCTTGGATGAGATCTATCCAAAAAGGGGGGGTTGCTTATTAGCCTTGCCCCTCTAGAGTGCCTCGAGTCGCCTCTTGGGCCCCCCCAAGAGCCAAAATCCTTCCAAAACCTAGGTAAAATCAATGTTTTGTGCTTTCTCGCGTTTTCGCTCTTGGAGCCGTCTTGGGCCGTCTTGGGAGCCTCTTGGGCCTCTTGGGGGTCTCTTGGGAGCCTTTTGGAGGCTTCTTGGGCGCCTCTTGGGGCCTCTTGGGGCGCTCTTGGGGCGCTCTTGGGGCGCTCTTGGGAGCCTTCGGGGCGCTCTTGGGGCCATCTTGGAGGAGATCGATCAAAGAAGAGGGGGTCCCCAATTAGCGTTGCCCCTCTAGAGTGCCTCGAGTCGCCTCTTGGGCCCCCCAAGAGGCCAAAATCTTCCAAAACCTAAGGAAAATCAATGTTTTTTGCTTTCTCGCCTTTTCGCTCTTGGAGCCGTCTTGGGCCATCTTGGACTCTCTTGGGGCCTCTTGGGGGTCTCTTGGCAGCCTCTTGGAGGCTTCTTGGGGGCATCTTGGGGTCTCTTGGGGCCCTCTTGGGGCGCTCTTGGGGCGCTCTTGGGAGCCTTCGGGGCGCTCTTGGGGCCATCTTGGAGGAGATCTATCAAAGAAGGGGGGAGCCTCAATTAGGCTCGCCCCTCTAGAGTGCCTCGGATCGCCTCTTGGGCCCCCCCAGGAGGCCAAAATCCTTCCAAAACCTAAGGAAAATCAATGTTTTGTGCTTTCTCGCCTTTTCGCTCTTGGAGCAGTCTTGGGCCATCTTGGGCGTCCCAACGCGTCGCGGAACGCCCCGTCCAGGTCAGTGGGGAGGGGTAAGGGGAGGGGTAAACCCCTCCCCTTGGAGCAGTCTTGGGCCATCTTGGGCGTCCCAACGCGTCGCGGAACGCCCCGTCCAGGTCAGTGGGGAGGGGTAAGGGGAGGGGTAAACCCCTCCCCGAAGGGAAAGAAGGGGGGTTGGCAGAGGAAACTCTCTAGACCACCTACGCCCTAAGGGCTGGTGGGGATTACCTACCCCGCTTTCGCTTCCAGGCGAAACCAAGTCATACCACGCGCCTCCTCGTCAAGCGGCCTGACCAGTACAGGCCGCAGTTTGGCATCGTTTGGTATCTCTTGGAAGCGAGGGTGGTCAAAAGCGAGGTAGGTTCGTTTCCCCCCTAAATGCGGCCGATCGGATCTTGCTCCCCTCGGCCAAGGGAGGAAAAACCACCCGGACCGGACACAATTGGCGTTTGTTGGACGGCCCTGGGCTTTTACTGAAAGCCCTGCCCGTTCGATTCCTTCTTGGAGCGCGTGTACTGCACGTCTTCGCGTGGCGGGGTGGTTATGATCGGGGTGGATGTTCTGCCCTCTGATCTGCGCAGGCTCTGCAGGTGTTGGAGAGCTCTGCAATGCCGCCGATCAGGTATTGCTCCCCTCGGCTGTCCTTGCGGCCCGCAGCGCGGCCAGGAGTAATTACGGTCGACATGCAGTGTATGTATCCCGGCGAGAGAGGGGCCCGCCTTCGTCCCCAAGGTCACGCGACGGCGCACGACGCATTTGGCATTCAGTCGGGCCTGTCCCTCTACAGGGGGGGATTCAAAAATAGTCAGAAAAATAGTGTGGGGACGATTTTTGAACCATTTTCGAATATTTGTTTTCTTATTTGTCGTCGACAATCCGCTTATACGGGGGACACGCCCGACCTAAACTTGGCAGGAACAATCGGCGGTCTTTGGCTGAGTTCACGGCTCCCGCCGCCTCCGTCCCGACCTCGGGCATCATTTCCGCTTTGGCCTCGAGCGGCCACAGGCTTTGGGTCTCTCCTGGGCAGTGTGTGTGTGTGTCTCCTGTGGCCTCTTTTCCGCTGCCCGACATGGCATGGTGGATTGTCGCCCTGACGAGGCGCACATGTCTGAAAGAGCCGCCAGGAATCAACGCTTGTTTCTCGGACCGAACGAAAGAGGGGGATAGGGGGGGTTACGAAATTTGCTGCGTGCAGCTGGTTTCGGCCCCGCCGCCAGGCCCATTCCTCGATGCTTGGGCGCCTCCCGGCGCCGGGAGGCGCTGGGACAATCAGCTACGTGATCACGAGCCTCGAGACGGGGGTCAGTACAAACGGGGGTCAGCCACGGCGCCGGATCCTGCAGGATCCTGCAAAGACCCCCTCTGGCTGACCCGGGTTAGGGAGCCGCTCGTGGCCGCGAGGCGGCCGCGCGTATTGGCTGACCCGGGTTTGCGAGGACCTGCGTTGCATTTTTTTTTCCTGCATTGCAGTTTTTGGTTTCCTGCTGACCCGGGTGTGGATTGACCCGGGTCAGAAGATCCCCGACGTGAGGTGATTCTCTGCCCTACCAGGTGCTGTCCCCCCCTTTCGTTCCCCCCGGGCTTCTTGCCGGGAGGCACCCCGCCGACGAAGGGCGGAGTGACGGACGGGCTCATCCCCGGA